AAATAAAGTAAGCTAAAAAAAATTACAGGGAAAAACTGACAAATCCAGTATCACGATAGGGATTTTCAAACACATCTTTAATATTGATAGACCAACAGGAATAAAATTCAATACAAATAGTTTGAAAATAATAACTTAGGTTTGATTTACTGAAGTCTGAAAACAAATCTCAGAGAGTTCTGTAACTTTCAACCATCTAAATGTTTTTTTAGCAACTACAGATAAATTAAAAAACTTGATGACTATACTAGGTCACAAAGCTTAAAGCATCAATAGCCCCCAAATATTTCTATCTTCATAACAATTAAATTTAAGATTGAGAGCAAAAGGTCCAAGTTAGTTATTCTTAAATACCTCATAATAACTGTTAGTTCAATGAAGGAATCTTAATAGAAATAAAAAATTAGAATTGGAAATAAAATACATGAAAACCAGTAATATATAAAACAACTCATACATATTTTCATAATTTCAAAGTAGATAAAACTGTTAACTGAGTGTGGTGGGACATGCTTCAGAAGCTGAAGGAGGAGAATGGTGAGTTTGTAGCCAGCGTGAGCTACATGATGAGATATTTTCCACACATACAAAGAGACTAATATAGTTGACTTTTCAAAACATAAAATGTATAATACTACATTTTATTATTTACTATGACAAGATAATAACAAATGTACATTGTAGACGTTGAAAACCCACAGTATTATGTAAAGTTAATATTAACCAAAACTTTACACACCTAGACACAGAAACTTTACATGGTACCATTCACAGTGAAGAGCAAAGTAAGCAACACATTGTATTGCTATGATCATTTCATAGCTATTTCATGTTATAATCAGTAACCTCAAATGTCCCATGTATCCATTTAAAGATTTTGAGTGGTATCAAACATCTAAAAAGCAGTTTGCTCTCCAAGAAATTGTGTGTTGCAGTTTAAAATAAACATGATTCTTTTCTTACATATTTTTGTCACAAGCAATACACAGAAAATACGCGTTAATCACTACCAGGATTTCGACTTGGGGATTAGTAGATCTAATTTCAAAGACAGGGTTAGCCCCACTAACTAGCCCATTAAATAAGTTTCAAATTCCAGCCTAATAACTGGGAAAGGCCAGGAAGAATACAGAAAAAGCTAAATTAAGTCTCCAACAAGCAAGATCACATATGCAGGAAAGAACAGAAATAAACAAAGCATTACCAGAGACAACTTAAACACCAAACTTAATACTTAGAAATCCAATACAGCTCTAAAACTTATCCATAGTTACAATGGTAGTGAACACAGACATGCCAACTTAAAACAGAAGCAATCTATTGACAAAGTTCATAGTCTTCACTACTACGCTATATTACCAGTCAAAAAGCTAAACAGAAATGAAAAGCTTCCTGAATCCAACTATATTAATCATAACAATCTTCTTGTAGCACATAAACACAGACAAAAATACACAAAATTTTGCCTGTGATCTATAATCAGAATACACTTAAGAAACCTGTAACAACATTAAGAAAAGGGCAACAACCTAAAAGACAAATGGGCAAAAGAGGAGTAAATATTCCTCAGACTGGAAATCATGGGCAGCCAACAAACAAGAGGTTCAAACTCACAGGAAATTAGGAAAACTCAAAATTGAGACACAATGAGTAAAGACTCACCAAACTGTTTAAGTGTAGGGAAATATATAAAGCGAACAGAAATTCCTACATTCTGTTCTCAGGGTGCAACTAATAAAACACTTAATCACAAAAGAAATAACAATATTTTGACAATGAAATGTAAAACACACATACTATGGCTAAAAAAGTAATCCATTCTTGGCTGGAGATGAATCACTGGTTAAGAGCACTGGCTATTCTTGCAGAGGACCCATGTTTGATTCTCAGCTACCACATGGCAATATATGCCAGCCATCTGTAACTTCAGTTTCAGTAGATCCTACACTCTCTTATGATCTCCAAGGACACAGATATACACATGATATACATATACACATGCAGGAAAAGCACTCATACACATTAAATTATTTAAAAATTCATTATTAGGTATGCAACCTGAAGGAACTCCTTACATGTACCTGTGCATACATAGGTGTCCTACTCTATCATACTTAACCTTATTCCCTTGCAACAGAAGGTGTAGTAGTTTAAATAAGACTAATAGTTGTTGGAGTTGTTTGGGAAGGTTTAGTTGGTGTGGCCTTGCTGGGGAAGTATATTAATACAAGTGGACTTCGAGGGTTTAGTCTCATCACACATCAAGTTCATTCTGCTTCCTGCTCCTGCCACCATACATGTTGCTCTGGCTCCCTACCATGATAGGACTCCATTTCCTCTGGAAATGTCAGCCCAAATAAATCCTTCTTTCCGTAAGTTATGATGTTTTGTCACAGCAATAGAAAAATTAAGACAGGGTTTCTCACTACACTGGAGCTAGGTGGCAGAAGCCCTAGAGATCCTCTAGTCTCAGATACCTTCCCCAGAGCCCTAGAGTTACAGGCACACACATGAGTACAACTAGCTTTTTATGAGGGTTCTAATGATATGAACTCAGATCCTAATTCTTGCAAAGCAAGCACTCTATAACTACTGACCTATCTTTCCAGCTCCTATAGAAAGTCTTGAGCACATATATCACAAGAAATACCTGCTAGCTAGACTTATCTCAACTTGACACACAAACTATAGAGTTTATTAGGAAAGGAAGGGAGCCTCAATTGAAAAAATGCTACAATATGCTCCATCTGCAAACCTTTTTGTAATTAATGATCAATTGTGGATCATACCATCACTGGCCTGGTGGTCCTGGGCTCTGTAATAAAGTACGATGAATAAGCCATGGGAAGGAAGCCAGTAAGCAGCACCCCTCCATGGCCTCTGCATGAGCTCCTGCCTCAGGTTCCTGCCCTATTTGGGATCCTGTCCTGAATTCCTTTTATGGTGTACAATGAGGATTGGGGAAGGGTTTCCTTTTGTCTTTTCAGGAGAATGAGTTCATCTAGCTAAGGAATCTTAAGAATCACAGGACAAATGAGACATCTGAAGAGAAGAGAAAGAACAAATCATCCAGAAAAAAAAAAGTCCCAATAAAGAGTGAATTAGCCTATTACCATACTACATCTCCAGCAGGATACTATTTCATAAATCTTCCCAAATGTTTAATTCTGCTTTTTTTTTTCTATAGTCATAAAATGGAAATGGTCTTTTTGTATTCCCAGTTCAATTAAAAATTAAAGCTGGCTCCAGAGTTGGAATGTGGCTCTTTCCTTCTTTAAACCCAAGCATGTTTGTTAAAGTAAAATCCAAAATCTGTCTCATGTCTGCTCCTGGCAACACCAATCTACTTCAGACATGATGGGCATCAAAAAAAAAAAAAAAAAAAAAAAAAGAAAGAAAGAAAAACAAAACAAAAAAAACTACACATTGAGTTTCCTTTCTTTGTGGCAAAAGTTAGCCACTGGGCAAGAAAATGCCTTTGCCTTGACTGCTGACAGTATGTGTCCAAATTGGACAAGCAGGACACAAAAGAAAGTACTGCTGAATTTTGACAAGGTAAGACAGCCCTTCAGCATATGCTATTGCACAGAAAAGTCTGTCAGATATGCTAGGCCTGTAGGTTGAAGATGGATGCCCCACATGTGCAAAAGAACCTTGGATTACTGTCCAGGCACCCAGCAGTTTGTGTCATTTCTCACATTTTTTTTTTGGAAATCCCTTGCTTACATTTCCTGCTTATTCAGAAAATTATTTCCTTCTTGGGTCTCTGATGGAGTTGAAGACTTTATAGCTATAGTTACAATTTCCCTTGTTACCAGATTCAGAAAAGAAGTTCACTGAAGGGGTACAAAGTGTATAAGGGTGAGAGACATAAAAAGATAGTTTTGGTAACTCAAGTTAGAACAGAAAGTGAATTAGGTACAATCTTTTGGACTCACAAAGATAGGATAGATATGGAGATATGGAGTATTTTCTCTGAATTTGTCAACTTTTAATGGACTAAACAATTGTTGATGTATTTATTGCATATATATATGCAATAAATATCATATATATATATATCATATATAGTTATTGTACACAGTTTTTCTTATATTAGTTAACACCTTTTTTTTCCCTACTTTTTAGGCATAAAAGGGTGTGGTGATGTGTTGTTTATATTCTATCAAATAAAGCTTTCCTGAAGATCAGAGGGTGGAGCTAGCCATTAATTAACCACAGAGGTCTGGAGGTCTGTACAGACAGAGAGGAAGTGATAAGGCTGGGTGGAGATAGAAATATAAGGCAGGAGGGAACAGAACTCTTTTCAGTTGAGGAGTTACCAAGGTAAGAGTTGGTTGTGGCTTCCTGTTTTCTCTCTTTGGTCTTCCAGCATTTGCCCCTATATCTGGCTGCAAGTTTTATTAGTAAGACCAACTGGAAGTTTAAACCAATAAAACCTTTCCTCCTCAAGTTGCTTTAGTCAGGGTGTTTCATCATAGCAACAGAAACCCTAACTAAAACACATACAGAAGGACATTAATAGAAAATATCAGCAGAAAAATGGAAAAAGTAGTTCATGGTAATTCACAATTGACTTATCTAACAGTGAGAATTATATTAATATAATAGAATATATAAGAAAATATAAACATATTATAAATATAAAAATAAAAATGTGCATATATATGATAACACAGAAACATAATGTTGGATGACAATATAAGTTCAAAAGCAGGCTAAACTGAATCAATCATTTAGATGGAACCAATAAACATTAAACTGCCTATTAGGATAGAATGTATTATATTTACATATACTCTTTATTAAATTAGTTTAAGGTGGGAGCTTTTATACCTCATCCAGGCCTCAATGTCCTATGTAGCCAAGAGAGGCATTAAACTCCTAACTCAACTTCCTTCACATCCCACATGCTAGGAATACAGGGATGCACCACAATGCTCACCTTTGTCTAATTGTCATGTCATTCAAACAACTCTTTTAGAAACCATAAGTCAAACTCACCTGCAAAAACACTGTGGCAGTTCTCCTTGGCCATATAAAGGAAACAGAAATGGAGTGTTGCCATACCGCCCAAGACAGTGAAGAAAGTTTTTGGTAGCTTTGAGACCATCTACAGTACTGCTTGTAGTCTCTGATGTCATTGCAATTGAATGCAGGACAAAATATTGTAGGTTGGGGGTTAGTTTTCGAGTTTTTAAATATTCAGAAAATGTAGTTTCCTCATATGCTATGAAAAGAAACAGGAACATTCATCAATTAAAATAAAATATAATTTATATTTTTAATAAATCACACACTAATGGCCAAGTCTTTTGAAGGTTTAAAACAGGATGCAAGTGGTCCTATTACTAAAGTTTGGATGTACTATTGTTCTGAGGAAAAAATATGGAAACGACCTCATTATCCTAAGTAAATTGATGGCATAATTTTAAGCATTAAATGATGAATCTTTATTTAGTATTTTATTGATGTGAAAAACCAGGAAGACATTCAACAACTCTATAAATTATGGTGGATAGCAATACCTCAATTCATTAGCATTTAGGCTATAGAGTAATGTCAACATATACCTGAAAAAATAATATAAAATAATGAAATGATGAAATACATTAATAAAAATGTCACTTTTGTTACATTTTGCATTTTATTTTTGTTAAATATATACTTTGCATTCAAACCTAGAATTAAAAAAACTTCTACTGTAAGGTAATGAAACTAGTTTCTTTGTGGATGCAAGATACCAACATACACATACTGACAATCACACTTAAATATTAGGAATACCTACAAAACTAATCCTTTCATTACATAAGAGAAAACAAGTATATGTAGTAATAGTGGGAAGAAACAATCTTGTATCAAAAGACAAAACTTTAGGGAAATAAGCTAAGTTAATAAAAATGATAAAAATCAACTGACCAAGAATGTCTAAGTTTAGGTACTGGAAAAGACAACTTAGTATTTATTAAGTGTTTAATAGCGACAATTGGGTTTTCAGAATTCTGTCAAAACAAATCATGATATAATTCTCACTGAATTTTATAAATAAATTATCAAAATAAAATTTAATTTTGAACAATTTTCCAACCCAATGTACTTGAAAGGCAGCTTACATTACAACAATGAAATCAATTTTCAGCAAACTAAAATAACTGTCCTTAAAATTGCAATAATAGGGATAAAGCTAAGATTGGAAACCACAGTAACTCTAAATCTAGAGCTTTCCGCTATACATTACATAGCATTTACATCAACCAAATGAATAGATCAATATTTCAAGTAAAAGCAGTCCTGACGAGTGGCATCTATACAAATTTATTATTACTACTATTATAGTAGGAGGAGGAAGAGGAGGAGGAGGAACGACAAAGTAAAGATGAAATAACAAAAAAAGAATGTCATCTATCAACAATCAATTAACAGGTTATGTCTTATAAGCCAGGTCTTATGTTCAATTCCTACTGTCACACATATACAGATTAAACAATAAGTTAACCATAGTATTTTATTTAAAAGGAATAAAAATGAGAGGCTGCCATGACATTATGGCAATGTTGAAAACATTATAGCCACTACATGCATATGGATACCAAGCACTTGAAATATGGCTGGCATAACTGAGAAAATGAACTTTTCAGGATCTGAATAAATTAAATAGTACCATGCTGTTATGACTAACTCACTGGATACAGTAGAGTTAGAATGCATTTGAGAATAATTAGTATTTACCAAGTTGAGGAAGCAGATTAAAATTAAAATCACAAATAATTAGAAAACAATATTGGAAAGCAATACCTTTGTATTCATCAGGATAATCTTCATATTCCATACAAAATGTTAGAAATTTCATAAGCATTCGCTTTTCTACCATAGTAAGTTGTTTGCTATTAAAGACATCTGCTCTCGAACAGGGAACCTGAAAAGTATTTGAAAGTGAAGATGATTTTAGAATGCTTCCTAATGACACAAGTATTCCAGATTATACTTTTCAACCTTTCCTCATTACAAGGTTATCATTTCCATTCCATTCTGGCTGCTTCATGTCACCTTTCATCAGTTCCAATAGCATCTCTGTTAACTACAGAGCTAATTAATTTGAGAGCTCTGTTACTTAATTTTGCCAAGTTGTTCTTCATACCATTAAAAGGCCAATGACATGTCACCCCAATAGGGAACAAATGACAATTCAAATACAGTACTGCTGCCTGAAACTAACATTTCCTCAACATTAAAATTAACCTAGGGAATAAATGTTCAAAAACATAGCAAAATTTAATGGAGCAAATTTTGTGTTTACATTTATAAATGACCATGTAAAGTTGGAACTTATTGCCTTACTAGAAAATGTAACTGTCCTTTATCCTTCTAAATGAGTAACAGTAACTTGGCTCCCACAGCTGAGCAGCACAGTACCTGTTCCACAATTCCTTCACGAAATGCAAGAATCCTTGTAACATTTTTAAACTCTGCATATCGACTAACGTTTGATTTGATTAGAAGATCAATTAGTAATCCCCGAGAATAAAGAAGCTGTAGGAAGAAAGTGTTGGAGAGGATACAATCAAAGGCAAAATAATGGAAAATGGCAATTACCACAAACAGAAAGACACATACACAAAACTATTAGAATTTAAGTTATGTATACATTTTTAAAATCTAAAATTAATTCATTAACTGTTCACAGTTCAGCACTAAAATTCAAACCAAAAAGACCCTAGGATACAAAAGGTTTCTCCATAACTTGATCTGGCAGTAAAACCTGCACTCCTAAATGGTTCTTCTACTCATGTCTGGATGATGTATGAGTATACATGAATTTCATTACAGAAATGTTAATGGGTTTAGTTATGAAAACTCTTCCAGGTCTGCTAAGAATGTTGCATTGCACACTGCACATCAACATATCCAGTGTATTTCCTTCTGAAATATCCTTGTCATCTGAGTGATATAGTACCTCAGGATCTAGAGACACAAAATATTGAACTGGAAATAGAGCCAGTTGAGTTATAAGAAGAGATGAGTATAGTGAACCACCCCATGCCATCCATGTGGACAAACCAACCAAAAACAATCCAAAATCAAATAAAATAACCTCAAATAGAGGTAAACTTCCACAACAGAGTCAAATTCTAAGCCCCTCAAAATCTAAGTTTATATGACATATGATCTTTTCAAGAAGTGAACAATTTTACTATTGATATTTCTATGAAAGACTGACTTAATTCTTTCAGCATACATTATAATTAATACCAGAGAGGAAAGCAATAAAACTTTACATAGTATTGCCTAGCATGTTTGAAATTCATTTGAAATTATATTTGGCTATTTCCTATGATCATGATACTTATAATTTCTAACCCATTACATAAAAGGATAAAAGCTGTATCTATAATAACTGGAGAAAATTAAATAAAAAGAAATATGGCAGCTCAAAATTTTGATCTCATTCACTAATTTGTGCACCAAAGAACATGATTTCTTAAACAATATTATGTACAATTTTATAAACTATCATATTACTTTATCATTGTGCCAACAAAAGTTAATATTGCATTTTTAGAATTAATCGAAATACTCTGACTAAAAAATTTGCCATGTTATTTGACTACCTTGTTCCTAACACTATAAAACTGATACACATTATTTTTAAAATGACATTTATTAGCTCTATAAAATAGCGTGGTTTTGCATTTGCTTAAAAAATAATTACCTTTGATTTCACACTCAATGAAGAGGCAAATATTAATAGAGACCAAAAATGCATTTATATGTCAAATAAAGCTTAAAACAAGTGAATTTCAGTTTTCACTGAAGAATAAAAACAAATCTCAACTAAAATTATCTTACACATAAGTTTCTGAAGCATGGAAATAATACATGTACCATATTTAATCACAAGGCTTTTTACCAATGTCCCCTAAGTGATTTGCCATAGCAATTGCATATTCATGAGAGATGAAAAAAGCTGCAATTACACTAAAATAATCAGATAATTCTCAAACAGTTCTTTTGTCTATTTGGTATATTGTCTCCATAACTGAAGTATATAAGATTACTTAGAATCCCTTTTAATTGGAAAAAAAAAAAAAAAACTTTTATGGTGACTTCACTATTCTGAAGTACAATATTTCATGCAGGGAAATATTCATATTTATACACATTAAATTCAAAGCGAACAGCGGAGCAGGCATACAGATTTCATCAGCAACATGCAAGGTACATGAATTGTCTCTTCCCTTTCTCTTATCACACCCTTTATGGCAAGTCTGATTGGATATTTTATTATTATTTTGATAAAAAATAACCTTGTTTCTTATGAACCTAATGCAGTATTGAAGCCTCTCATGATCCAGCAATGTCATCGGAAATTACAATGAGCTAACATTAGAGTTAATTATGGAAACACTAGAAAAGACAAAAGAATTCTTCACATCTTTTGCCACCAGGAGAAAGATGTGCTCCAGTGTTCTCAAACCTGACGATGTGATATTCAAAAATGCATTTGCTTATTGAGAACACTTATATTGAGGACACTTTTATAAGGGCTATTCATACTAATATTTTAGTGTACTTGGGGGGGGGTTCAAGACAGGGTTTCTCCATGGCTTTAGGAGGCTGTCCTGGAACTTGCTCTTGTAGACCAGGCTAGTCTCCAACTCACAGAGATCCACCTACCTCTGCCTCTCAAGTGTTAGGATTAAAGGCATGTGGAACTAACATCTGGCTTTTAGTGTATTTTAACCTATACTCAAAGCAACCATTTTGTAACAGAATTATAAAATTGTGTTTATGATCTTTCTATAAAGCAAACAATTTACAATTCAGAAACTAAAATAAAGAAAAGTACACTTAGAGATCCAGATGCTGTTTTCAATATTGTTCTATGTTAAGATGTGTAAAATTGATACTTACTTTTGATACTAAATCAATATTAAATCTTCTTCCTTCTTTAATAATCTGTGAGTAAGTAATTATATTTTTCTTTGGTTGCTCTGTGTTGTCTTGTACTTTAGGCACATTTTCACTTGGCTCTTCTTCTGAAGGTTTATCATCGCTATAATTCTCTTTTTCTCCTGCTGCTTCAGCCTCATTTACTTCTAGTGAACTCTCTGGATCACTAATCTGAGTTTGTTCTGCTGGTGTTTCACAGCTCTGGGTGTTTATTGACTCATCTGCGACAGGCAGGCAAGCAGCCTCTGTAGCCTCTATGGAGTTCGTGTGTATTACAGAAGCATGATTTTTCTGCAGTGCACCAGCTTCTTCAACATCTTTGTGCAAATCCTGACTAATAAGAAATCATGACAATAATCAGTATCATGCTTCTGATATGTCTACCTTGCTACAATTTCTTACTACATTAAATTTTCATGACAAGTATGACTCCTCTATCCTTTTGTCTGAAGTTCAGGGTACATATTGTTAAAGTTTCCATATGAAATTTGAAATTTAAGATATTGAAGAGATCATGAACATGAATATTTTTGAGAATTTGAGGCAGGCAAAGGAATATTATTCTAAAAACAAACCAGCACAGTGTAACTATCAAACTGAACAGATAGAGCTATAACCCAACACCATTACTGATTAACATTCTAAATGTACTTAGTCCTACACTATGCCGGGATAATAGGACCCGCCATCAAGTTTGTTCTAAAAGTGAACTGACACATTGCATTCAAAGAACCCAACATTGTAAGTGGAACAGAGCAAATGCTCAATAATAGTAACTTTCAGAGGATTAATACTGAGGCTCTTAAGACTTGGTAGTGTGAGAGACATACCTTCATTCAAGGGAGGGGGAAGTGTGTCATGTCACTTTTCCTATTACTTTGTGGTACCTACCAGATCTTTTCACAGTGTTTCTTGTTTACTATTGATATTTATTACCCCACTGAAAGCTTCATTTTCAAAGTTATTACTAAAGTAAGCATTTTAGTCTACAGTTCTCTTGACACAACAGACTCATATTTGGCTTTCCTACATTGTGAATTTCGGTTCCAGAAAATCCACTCTTCTTCTTGTTCACTATCTGGTCCCAATTCCTTGTATTTGATGTCTGTTAACTAAGCATATACTAACTGAATATTTAAGAGCTAACAGTGGCCCTTCCACTATCAAGCAAGCCTAAACCCTACTTCCTGAAAAATCTTACTCTTTATGTCTCTAAAACAAATATCTTCCATCTTTATTTTTAAACTGCTTTCACATATGACATCTCTATCACCCAATTAATCATCTCAAGCCCCCATATTTTATCCCTTATCATGTTTTGTCATATGGGCTATTCTTCCCACTCCTCATAATATCAAAATTACTCTAGTTCCAAATATAACCACATATTAACTATCTATGTAGTATAGAAAATTCTAAATTTCAAAACAACCATATTTATCAGTTACTCCATGAACTATGAAGTATGGGTGCAGTTTATTTTGCATGTATTTACCTTTCTAATTGCCCTTTGGTTTTACAGTGTGGATTGATCATGCTTAAGCTACATCATCAAATATTAAATGTTAGCAAATCCAAAATCTTTTGAGCATCATGTTAGTAATCAAAAGATTTTAAATTATGGAACAATTTGGGCAAAAGATACTCAGTAAAGTCTATGTCAGTATTCTAAAATTGAAAAAAAAAGCAATCCTGAAGCACATCTGTTTCCAAGTGTAGTCATCTGAATGAGAACTATTCCCCATAGTCTCAAGCATTCAAATACTTGGTCCATAGTTGGTATTGCAGTCTGAGAAGTTTGGGAGGAGTGGACTTACTGGAAGAAGTATATCAGTGAGGGTAGCCTTTGACAGTTCAATGCCTCAGTCTACTCCATTTGCTCATTCTGCTACATGATACATATTTGTGGATCAAGAGATGAGCCCTCAACATCCTGCTCCAACCATCATGCCATTGTTTGCTACCATTCTTCCTTGCCATGGCAGACTCTTATCCCTCTAATCCCTTTCTTCTGTAAATTGCCTTGGTCATGGTATTTTATCACAACAGTTTTAAAAAAAAAAAAAAAGTAACAGAGACTTTGGTTCCAGAGAGTAGGCTAGTAGCATGCACTGAGTCCTCTGTGTATGTTGTAGCTGTTAGCTTGGTGTTTTGTGGGCCTCCTAACTATAGGAACAGTTATGTCTCTGACTAGGTTGCCTTGTCCAGCTGTGGTGGGAGGACTTTTGTCTTGTCTCGCTGTATTGTTTGGTCAGGTTGGGATGTTACCCATTAGAAGTCTGTTCATTTTGATGGGAATTTGGGATGGGGTGTGGTGGTGGAAGTGGATCCTGGAGAAAGAGGAAGTGGGGAGGTGGATATGGCAAAAGTAGAGAGAGGGGAAACTGTGCTGGGAATGTATTGTATGAGGAAAGAATCTATTTTCAAACTGTCAACAAATTATCAAAATGTAATGATAACTTCGATGAAATTTAATTTAAATAGCAACTGATAATCACTAATCATCAGCAAGACTTTTCCTAAGTAGGTAACAACAGTGGGGAAATGACCTAGGTCCCAATACCTCATGTCATTACTTGGGAGGTCCATTTACCTTATCTTTCATAATATCATAAGATAAACTAATATACATGAAAAGTATTTAATAAACAAAAAAGTCAGAAATAAGGTATAGATCCAATCTTGAGTTAGTTAAATTGCCTGTAGGTCAAAAGAAAAACCTCCATTGACTCACATGATGGAAACTCTGGCCATGCCATTACAATTAACATTAAAAACAAAAAATCAGGGATAGAAAGATGGTTCAGCAGTAAAAAAATGTTTGCTGCTTGTCTTATTTTAATTTCTGTTTGAATGATAAAACACTGATCAATGGAAATTTGGAAAGTTTTTTGGCTTAGAGGTTACAGTCCATTATGGCAAGAAGTCAATACAAGAAGTCAAGATGGGAAACTGGATATAGGTACTGAAACAGAGACCATGAAGGAACTGAATTATGGTATTACAAGTTATTACTGGATTATTTCCTCTCACTACCTTAGTTAGCTACCTTCTTAACTAGCTCTGGACCACCTGCATGAGGACTGCACTGCCCACAGTGAGCTGGGTTCTTCCACATCAAACTACAGTAAGCAAAGTAATGCACAAGCATGCACATAGCCAACCAGCAGTCAATTTCTTGATCTTTCACGCTTTCCCTGGGTGACTCTGATTTTTGCCAAGCTGATGAAAACAAACTAGCACACTGATCTTGCAGAAAAAGCAGGGTTCCAATGCCATGCTGAGGAGCTTAAAACTACCTTTAATTTTAGCTCCAGGGGATCTAATACCTTCTTCCAAAAGAACCCACACATACATATGCATAAATAAAGGTTAAAAGTTATATCCTTTAAAAATCAAGTTATGATATAAAATGTGATTTGTATCTTTTCCACAGTAATGTCCCCATCTGTATTTGCTTTCATTCTGAAAACTGATAAAACTTAAGATGACAACTTTCAACAAAAGTTCCATGCCTAAAGATTTGAGTAAGAAATGACAGAGTAATTAATTATACTACACAGACAAGATAGAATATGGCAACTTCTTTTATTATAGACTGTGATGAGAACAGCATGGAAATTGAGCATAACAACTGATTTATTCAGTAGCTATCTCGTATATTAAGTAAAAAGAGGTTTCATGTAGTAAATGAAATCCATTATTCAATGCTGGACAACCTGAAAGCTAAAAGTCAAAACGTTTCATTAAAGTTGTAATCAAAGGTTAAATAACTCTAAGGCACTAGGAAAGAAATTCCTATTTTAGAATTTGTTCTACTACTACAAACTACTAAATTTCAGTGTTCTCAACACCACAAGTTGGTCAAGTTCCTAGCTCTACAAGAAATAGAAGCATAAAAACATACTACTATTCCCACTTTATTAAAAACCAAAGAATTTTTGGAGTTCTGCCAAGTGTTAGCCTCATATCTAAAAAAATTATGAAGACACTAGAAATTCCTAAACCCCCAAATAATTACTGTGTAACCAAATTCTTTTAAGCAAAAGGGTGATATTTTCATGAATTTAAAACCTTACATTGTGGTTCATATATAAGCAGCATTTTCATAAAAAATTTTCATCTGCCAAGGAAAATTTAAGAATAACAGTTCAATTTTAGTAACTCAAATGTATTTGAAAACCATGAAAATGTATGTGCAAATATTTTAGCAAATTGTAAGCCCCCAAAGAAGCTCTTAATATAAAAACATTCACTATCAAATAATTTTGCAAATTAAGACAAATATCACTTATACTTCCAACCTGAATCTCAAAGGCCATTAGAGATGGATTGTATTTTTTAAAATAATTTACCCTAACTAAACTAAAAATGTTGATTGCTTTGTATAAACGTACCTAAAAAAAACTAATTGCCAACTTAAAGAACTCGGATCACTCATGAGTGGTAATAACCAAAGAGCACTTCCAAATAAATTTGCCATATTAATACTTTGTAATCCTTTATGTGGGTTCAATACACACACACACACACACACACACACACACACACACTGTAAACTAGCTGGTTACTTTATTTAGGACAGATGTTCACAGTTGTACAATTTTTGTATAATTATGCAAATATGTGTTGCATATATATATATATATATATATATATATATATATATATATATATAGTGGAATATTTGTTTAACTGTGTAAAGATGTGTTGCATTTGTTTAATTTTGTAAAGATATGTTGCTGTTTTACCTTGCCTGCCTAAGGCACCTGACTGATCAAATAAAAAGCTACAGAGCCAATAACAATGGAGGAGGTATAGGCAGAGAATAAGAGGAGGAATTTAGATTCTAGAGAAAAAAAGGAGAGGACAAGGAGACAACAGGGGCTAGATACAAACATTTCAGGGACCTACAGAATATGGCATTTAAGAGAGTGAGACAGGTCTGCTCCTGGCAGCTATGATCTACTTCATAAAAGGATAACAGGCATCAAAGGACATCCATAAGGAGTTCACGTCATTGTGGCAAAACTAGGCATTTGGGCAGGAAACTGCCTCGACTTCTGACAGTATGCTGTCCAAACTGGACAAGTAGGACACAAAAGAAAAAGACTGTCAAACTTTTGTCAGTTGCTGTTTCAAAGAAAATCCTGTCAGGTATTCTAGAGATGTAGGAAAAAGATGGATACCCCAATGTTGTATCGACAAAACTTAGGTGACTGTTCAGACATCTAGTTATTTTTCTCATTTCTATATTTTGGAAGATCTTTTCTCTATACTTCCTGCTTACTCAGTTGATTTTATCTCCTTCTCAGGTCTCTGATGGAATTGAAG